ACAGAGACAGAGACAGAGACAGAGACAGAGACAGAGACAGAGACAGACAAATGCCAAATTTAAAGCAATCACAACGATTTATACTGCAGACAAAAAGTGTGTTAATTGGCCCATTCTGATACAAACAAGGAACAAGAGTAGGCCACTCGGCCCATCCAGCCTGCTCTCCCATTCAATAAGATTGTGGCTGATCTGATTTTAACCTCAACTCTACATTCCTGTATATCCCCCGATCATCGTTCACCCCCCTTGGGTCATCATGAATCGATCTCCCTCTACCTTAAAAATATTTAAAGCTTCTGCATCCAATGCATTTTGAGGAAGGGAATTCCAAAGACTCCCAATTCCTCGGAAAAACGTTTCCCCATCTCTGTTTTAAATGGACACCCTCTTATTTTTAAAACAGTGACCCCTCGTTCTAGATTCTCCCACAAGAGGAACCATCCTTTCCAGATCTACCCAGTCAGGTCCCTCGCAGGATTGTAGATATAACTATTTTACACAGAGGGTGGTGCGTGTGTGGAATGAGCTGCCAGAGGAAGTGGTGGTGGCTGGTACAATTACATCATTTAAAAGGCATCTGGATGGGTATGTGAATAGGAAGGGCTTAGGAGGGATATGGGCCAAATGCTGGCAAATGGGACTGGATTAATCCAGGATATCTGGTCGGCATGCATGGATTGGACTGATGGGTCTGTTTCCATGCTGTAGGACTCTATATTTCAATTTTTTCAAAACTCTAACAGGACAAAAGGTGTCACTGGCCAGGCCAGCATTTATTCCCCATCCCTAATTGCCCCAGAGGGCAGTTAAGAGTCAACCATATTGCTGTGGGTCTGGAGTCACATGTAGGCCAGACCAGGTAAGGATGGCAGTTTCCTTCCCTAAAGGACATTAGCGAACCAGATGGGTTTTTCCGACAATTGACAATGGATTCACGGTCATTAGACCCTTAGTTTATATTCAAAATCCAGCATTCGAACCCGGGTCCCCAGAACTTTATCTGGGTCTCTGGATTAAAAGCCCAGCAATAATACCACTAGGCCATTGCCTCCGCTGCTCAATTCAGTCACCTCCGACTCTTCTAAACTCCAGAGGATACAGGCCCAGCCTTTCCTCATAAGGCAATCTGCTCATTCCAGTGATTAGTCTGGTAAACCTTCTCTGACCTTATGCTTCCAATCCTTAATCAACCATGCACTCATCGATGTGTGGTTTTCCTGGAATGGGATGCAACGGCAAGAGAGGGCAGGCGAGAGCGGGCGGGTGGGCGAGAGCGGGGAGCAGTTCACCAAATATATTCCACTCGAATGGACCTCTCGTGTTTCCATTTACACTCAGCCCACCTCGCTCACTGGGCTACCAGCACCCACAGGACTGGGTCAGGATTGATGGAGCTGACTGTAAATACAAACACAGAAAAAGGCCATTCAGCCCATCGAATGCCATGACTCATCTGCTAAGAGCAACACCCAGGAGAGGTGGGACAGTGAAGAAAAGACCCGTTTTTTGTTTATCCCCTGATTTGGTTCCATCATTTTAAATTAGTCATGGACTCAAACAGCCATACGGCATAGAAACAGACCCTTCAGTCCAACCAGTCCATGCTGACCATAATCCCAAACAAAACGAGTCTCACCTGCTTGACCCAAACCTTTCCCGTATCCCTCCAAACCTTCCCTATTCATGTACTTATCTAAATGTATTTTAAACGTTGTAACTGTACCCACATCCACCACTTCCTCAGGCAGTTCATTCCACATGTGAACCACCTTCCGTGTTTAAAAAAAAATTGCCCCTCATGTCCTTTTTAAATCTTTCTCCTCTCACCTTAAAACAAAATATACCCCCTAGTCTTGAAATCCCCCACTCTAGGGAAAAGACCCTTGCTATTCACCTTATCTACACCCCTCATGATTTTATAAATCTTTATAAGGTCACTCTTCAATCTCCGACACCCCACTGAGAAAAGTTCCAGACTATCTAGCCTCTCCCTATCAAACCCTCCATTCCCAGCAACATCCCAGTAAATCTCTTCTGAACCCTCTCCAGCTTTGATAATATCCTTCCTATAACAGATCAACCAGAAGTGGACACAGGGCTCCAGAAGAGGCCTCACCAACATCCTGTACAACCTCAACATGATGTCCCAACTCCTACACTCGGAGGTCTGTGCAATGAAGACAAGCGTGCTAAACACCTTCTTAACGACCCTTTCTACATGTGACACAAATTTCAAAGAATTATGTACGTGAACCCCTAGGTCTCTGTTCTACAACACTAACTGAGGCCATATTTTTGGTGGGAAAGCGATGCAGATGGTAGGCAGGATGGAAAATAGAGATAGGGGCTGCTGCAAGCAGAGATCAAAATGCCAGGAATTGGCAACACAGACATAGCACTGTCCATCAAAAACAAAAGTAGAAAACTTCTGGAAAATTTACTGCCAGATTGTCTACATTGTAGATGAGTTAGAGGAGCCAAGTCAGGGAACTCTGGTCTTTGCTGTTCCCCTAATCAGCACTTGGGGGTGCCCAAGAGCAGCTGAAATAAGGTTTCTCTGGAACTACTTCCGACATGAGAAACAGAGCAGGCGGCCATTCAGCCCCTCAGACCTGCTCTGCTGTTCGGTACGATTACAGCTGATCCTCTGAACTTGACTACGCTTTATAAAACTTATCGGCACATCCCTCGGCACCTGAGAAGGCACTGATCCCAGGTCTTGAGTGCCTGCAGCAGGGTGGCTCAGTGGTTAGCACTGCTGCCTTCATAGCGTCAGGGACCCGGGTTCGATTCCAGCCTCTGGGTGCTCCGGTTTCCTCCCACAATCCAAAGACGTGCAGGTTAGGGTGGACCGGCTGTGGGAAATTGCTCCATTGTGTCCAGGCTGGGTGGGTTAGCCATGGGAAATGCAGGGTTACAGGGGATAGGATAGGAGGTGGGTCTGGGTGGGATGCTCTTCAGATGGTTGGAGTGAACTCGATGGGCCAAATGGCCTGTTTCCACACTTGTAGGGATTCTATTCAGGGTTGGATGATTCTCCCAGGATTAGGTTGCTCTGCGCCTCTTATTCCCATCCACCCACTTCCCTCGTTCCTTACGTTTCCGTGGACAAATCTCACCGGATGCGAAATATTAACCCTGCTTTTCTCCCGAGTTTCCGTAGCCACCTTGTATCCCCTCTGCGTTTCAGATACCCAGCGCATCATCGCCGACTGGGAAACGCAGCAGTCACACTTTGTGCACAGCGAGATCCCTCAAACTGTAAAGGGAAGAGGTGAAGATTGCCTCGTTCTCCGATGTGCTGCTGTCTCTCATTGGAATGGGGGGGGGGGGGAAAGAGACTGGTTGTGGGCCTGGCCCGAGGGTCACCTCCAGCTGAGCGAGGGGTCCAAACCTTCACTGTAACCTTAGGAGGTGCAGGGATTGAACCCAATCAACGTCACAAATTGGTTGTCCAGCCAAATGGGCCAACCAACCCAAATTGTCGCTGGGCAGCAATGCACCTCAGTTTAATGGTTCTGCTCTCCCTGCTTTAGGAAAGATGTTGTGAAACTTGAAAGGGCTCAAAAAAGATTTACAAGGATGTTGGAGGGTTTGAGCTGGAGGGAAAGGCCGAATAGGCTGGGGCTATTTTCCCTGGAGCGTCAGAGGCCGAGGGGTGACCTTATAGAGGTTTATAAAATCATGAGGGGCATGGATAGGGTGAACAGGCAAGGTCTTTGTCCCAGGGTAGGGGAGTCTAAAACTAGAGGGGCATAGGTTTAAGGTGAGGGGGGAAAGGGACTTAAGGGGCAACATTTTCCACAGAGAGGGTGGTGCGTGTATGGAATGAGCTGCCAGAGGAAGTGTAGGAGGTACTATTACAACATTTAAAAGGTATCTGGGTGGGGATGTGAATAGGAAGGGTTCAGATGGATATGGGCCAAATGCTGGCAAATGGGACCAGATTAATTTAGGATATGTGGTCGGCATTGGACGAGTTGAGCTAAAGGGTCTATTTTTGTGCTGTACGACCTTCTGAGTGAAAACATTTCCCCTCAGCTCAGTCCGAAATGATCAGCCCCTTATCTGGCGACTCTGCACCTCCCCCACAACCCCACCACCACCATCACCTCCTCCCGTGCCCGATTTTCTAGATTCCCCATTTGCTAGAAACAGCCTCTGTGTGCCGACCTAGTCAGAATCTTCCTCCTTTGTAGTTCTTCATTCTTTTACACTCTGGCGTGTATTGGCGAAGTTTACTCAGCCTCCACCTCAAAAGGGACAAACTCCTCATCGCCAGAAAACAGTTAACAGAGATTGAAGGGTCAGTGTAGACCCGATGGACCGAATGGCCTCTTTCCGCACTGTAGGGGTACCTATGGTTATGGTTAGTGGGTGCTGAAAATCAGAAACAAAAGCAGAAATTGCTCAGAAAAACTCAGCATCTGTGGAGAGAGAAACAGAGTTAACGTTTCTGAACGGTCACCGGACCTGAAACATTGACTCTGCTTTCTCTCCGCAGACCTCCGGAGTTTTGCCAGGGATTCCTGCTGTTGTTAACAATCCAGTCAACCTTCGCTGTGGGCCCTGGAGTAAAAATAAGATCCAGCCCCGACAAAGGGGAATTGCTAGGGAGGCAACAACAGCGCAACTTGCCCGAAAGCTCAGATATGATGCATACCACTACTGTGCACATTTGTCACTTTGGTCCCTGTGTTGGTGTCTTCCTGGAGAGGAAAGAAATTAAACAACAGGGTTAAACCAAAAGGATATTCAATACATGGCACGCATTACACCCACACCTCCACTCCCCGCCACCCCAATAAACCCCCTCACTCCTCCCTCAGCCCCGGGTTTGAGGCCAGCAGCTTGCAAACATTTCCCAAAACGCCGGCAGGCAGAGGCGCGCGCGCGCGCGCAGCAGGCCGGCAGGCAGGCAGAGGCGTGCGCGCGCGCACACGAGATGCATACACACACTCATCATTCTACTCCTCCGATGCCAATTACCTTCCTTCAGGCCCTTGGATCCCCCCAGTTTTCACTCTCCCAATGGCCACCCCATTCATTCATTCATCCCTTACCAATCCCCAGGTCATCCCAACCCTCCCGCTAACGAGGCCTTAAACTAGCTCCATGGCACCACCACTCTCCCCCCCCCCCCCCCCCCCCCCTCAGCAATCCCAAAACCCCTGGTCAAGCAAAACGAGCATCTTAAATCCCTCGTCCTGGCTCCCCGGCCCTGTTCCCTCCTGGTCGCACTTGCGTCCTACACCACCAGGGTCACCAGTTCCAACGCCCCCACCCCCACCCCGGCCAGACGCGGTCACTTACGTTTGGCTCATCATCTTTCTTTGCTGGTGGCTTCTCGGACACTTTCCGTCTGAAGCAAGAGTGGGGGAGCGGGGATGGCAATTAATATGGAGACAGACATACACTCCCACCCCCTACCCAACCTTCTCTATACCAGATCCCCCTCCCCTCCGACCCCAACACGACACATGGGCACGTCCACTCTCCTGGTCACGGATTCAATGTGGAGTTCGGAAAGTGGATGTTAGTTGCCGACTGGGCCCTTCACAGTGCCACGTGATCAGCAGCTCCCGGCTGGGTCACCCACTCCCTACCGCGCATCACAGGCACGTTCGCAATCCATCCACTGTGGGCACGGGGGTAAGAAAGAGGTGACGGACTAGTGGTATTACCGCCGGGGCCGGAGACTCCGGTAAATGTTCTGGGGACCCAAGTTCGAATCCCACCATGGCAGATTTTCTTTTTGAAGAGGAGGATGTGAAGGCGTCGTTGGCCAGGGCAGCATTTATTGCCCATTCCTAATTGCCCAGAGGGCAGTTTGGAGTCAACCACATTACGGTGGGTCTGGAGTCACATGTAGGCCAGACCAGGTAAGGGATGGCAGCTTCCTTCCCTAAAAGGGCATTAGTGAACCAGATGGGATTTTCCCAACAATTGACAATGGATTCACGGTCATCACTAGACTCTTAATTCCAGATATTTACTGGATTCGAGCCCAGGTCCCCAGGACATTACCAGGATTTGTCTAGTGACAAAACCGCAAGGCCACTGCCTCCCATCTAAATCAGGGACAGGCAATAATTAACACACGCACGCGTCCCCCGACATAAAAAAAAACGAAAACTTCCCCAGATGAGCAGAATTCCCGACGGGAAATCATAAAGCCCCACCCTGTCGATTAGCCCTGAGCCCTCACCTTCGTGCCAACATGGCGCTCATCTCCTCCATGAGCCCTCCTCCTCCTCCGCCTCCTCCTCCTCCCCCTCCACTGTTTTTGTTGCTGTCGCTCCTGGGGCTAGAACTGCCGCTCGAGCGGGTGCTTTCCTCAGCCTGCGAGGGGTTGGGGGGTGAGGGAGACAGGCAGCGCAGACGTTAGGATTTGCAGAATGGGGAAACATCGCAGAGAGACAAGGTGCCCCCTTCCCCGCTGTCCGGAGACCCCCGGGCTCATACGTGGAGGACGGCCACCCCTGACAGAACACGCACAGCAAGATCCCAGAAACAGCTACTCCGCTCACCGCAGGTCCCAGGGCAGGGACGATGCCCGTTCTTCGCACCCCAAAACCTCGCCACGGCTGGCAGCTCCAGGTTTTTTGGGGGTTGGTCGTGGCCTTATCACTGTTTGTGGGATCTTGCTGTGCGCTTATGCTTCAATGGCGCCTGTATCTTTTGTTTTGGAAAAGTGATAAAGCACTTGAAGACATCGGAAGCTCATGAACGAAACAGAAAATAGGAGCAGGAGTAGGCCATTCAGCCCTTCGTAACTGCTCCCCCATTCTATATGATCATGGCTCATTGTTGTCAAGTGTTTATATTCAATCTTTGCCCAAAAAAATTACAATAAGGAATTTCTCTCACTTCCTTAAAATGTCCAGGGCACCAATATTTTTTCTCAATATTTCTCAAAATAATTCCATTACAATTGATTCAAACTGATTATTGATTACTTGGGTAAGAGGAACTGCTGATCCAGTTGATATAGTGACCCTTAACCTGGAAGCAGTGTCCACAGGGAGTTCCAGTCCCCACTTTCTCCTCATACCCTTTGATCTCTCTATCACTAAGAACTACATCTAACTCCTTGCAAACATTAAATGTTTTGGCTGCTTTCTAGCAGAGAATTCCACAGCACCCCCCCCACCACTGCCCACTCTCTGGGTGAAGACATTTCTCCTCATCTCCTCTTGTATCCTTAGACTGTGACCCCCCTGGTTCTGGACTCCCCAGTTATCGGGAAAATCTTCCTGCATTTATCCTGTCAGACAGATATACAGCATGGAAACAGACCCTTTGGTCCAACTCATCTGTGCCAACCAGATATCCGAAATTAATCTGGACCCATTTGCCAGGATTTGGCCCATATCCCTCTAAACCCTTCCTACCAAATGCCTTTTAAGTGTTGTCATTGTACCAGCCTCCTCCACTTCCTCTGGCAGCTCGTTCCATACCACCCTCTGCATGAAAAAGTTGCCCCTTAGGCCCCTTTTAAATCTTTCCCCTCTCGCCTTCAACTACTCCATTTCAAATGTTATGGTTTCTTTGAGATTCCTGCCACCCCCAACTTCTTCTAAACTCCAGCGAATATGGTCCTAACCGATCCAGTCTCTCTTCATGTCAGTCCTGGGATCTTGCTGTGTCAAAGCTGTTGATTCCCCCCATTTGCACTGAGTAATCCTCACAGATTCATATACTACAGAACAGGCCCTTCAGCCTATCATGCCTGTCTAGTTCCATTAGAATTCTGTAGGTTCCCACAAAATTTCACCCCTCCAACCCCCTTCCCGCCACATCACCTCAAACTCCAGTGAATAGAGTCTGAACTGAACCAGTCACCATCTAGAACGGTGTTTATTTAACAGGAGAAAATACCACATTACACCCCTCCCCACCGGGTGCACACCACCCTCACTACCGCCTCCCCCTCCCCCTCACTACTCTCCCCACATCTCACTCTCCCCTCTCCCTCTACCCCACACCTCCTCTCTCCCCTCCCCCACCCCACCTTCTTTCCCTCTCCACCCTCACAACCCCCACTTCATCCCTCCCCCCTCTCCCGTCTCCCCACCCCCTCACACCCATCCCTCTCTCTGTCTCCACCCCCACAACACCCACCTCACCTCTCCCACCTCCCTCTTACCCTCTCCACCCCACCCAAATCTTGCCCCCGTCACTCACCCGTGCTACTTTCTTCAGTTTGGCAGCCTGCAAGGCCTCCGAGAGACCCCCTCCGGGACCACCCCCCAACTGGCCAGACGAGGGCGGCAGCGGTGGAGGAGGGGGGGGCCCGCTCCCCGACTGTGGAGGTGGGGGTCCGGGAGGCGGGGGCGGTCCTGGGGGAGGTGGGGGTCCAGGCGGGGCAGGTGGTCCTGGGGGCCCCCCTGGCGGAGCTGGAGGGCCAGGCGCTAGGAAAATGAAAAGCAGCCGTTAATTACGACGTCCGCCGACACCTCAGCGCAGCAGGAGGGGGCGCTGTTCGGCCCATTGAGCTGATGGTCGCTCCTTCCCGGCCCAAAGAGGCTGCGCTCGCGGTGGAGCCGACAGCAGGGGGCGCACACTGCGCTCGGGCAACTACTGTGCCTGCGAGGCTCCTACATCTCACCAGGAACACAGCACTCACGCATGGAGGGTCAAACCCAAGCTCCCTCTCCTACTGCCTTCCCCCCTCTCTCCCTCTCCCTCCGCCCTCACAGTCAGAGCCCCACGCTGTATTGTGTTAATGGGGGTTAACGTGCAAGATTCAAAAGCTTAGCCTCAGGAACTGGTTGGCTTATGTGGAGGTGGGGGGAGGAAGCAGGAGGGTGAGAGACGGTGTGGGGAGGGGTGTGAATAACGAGGCAGCAACAATGTAGATGAGCTGGCTCCCTAATACAGTCTCGTGGTGCCGAGGAAGTCGGGGGGAGGGGGCGGGGGCGGGGGTGTACACTGTCAATACTCTGGGGGGTGGCGGGGGGTTGGTCATCACAATGTTGCAAGCCTTGAAACGGGGTCATGGTCAGTGAACACTTGAGAAGCTCTGCACCCAAAAGGCACTATGTAAATGCAAGTTGCTCAGGCTCCCCCCCAACCCGAGTCATTTCAGTCCGAGGCTGGATGTCTGGCAGGAACCAGGGAATTAGATCCACTCTCGGGGATTTAGGATTTAAATCGATCTCCGGAACTGACACAGACGATGGGAGAGAGACACAACCGGCCAACGTGAGCACCACCCACCCCCCACCTCCCACCTCCCGAGTGGGAGCTCAGCTGAGGTCAGGAGCTTTAAGTGTTTCTCTGAGACTCAGTGCCCTGGAGGGGCCTGGTGCATTCAACCAATTGCTGTCCCCGGCCTCGAGTGGCTGACTCTACCCTCACCGGCACCCCCCTCCTTTTCCTGAGGGGGCACTTCACGTCTGCCCCTGGGAGCTGTGGACCAGAAACAAAGAGGAGGATCAGGCCATTGGGCCCATTGGCTCTGCTCCATTGGTCAACATGATGGCGGCTGATCAGCTACCCAGGTGTCACGTCTCACACTCTCCCTGTATCCCCAGCATCGGGCTGTGGATTCTGGAGGGAACGAGCCGCGTGGGGGAAGAGCCCCACACAAGCCCCCACCACACACACCAACCCCTGGGGCGATTTGAACCCTGCGGTGAGGCAACAGTGCCTCCTGGCTGCATTGTACCTGCACTGCGTCTTTCCAGCTGCTCACGTTCCTGCTCCAGCCTCTGTTGTTCCAATCTCTGCTGCTCCAATCTCTGCTGTTCCAGCCTTTGCTGTTCCAGCTGCTGCCTGTAGGTTATGGACAAAGACACAGAGATGTGGGAAACGCCGACAAAACGCTGCCCGTACCAACGTCAGTCTAGATGATCCGATGGCAAATCTCCACCCTTTTACCCCCTGTTGAGGTAATTCTTCTGTACTACACCACAATGTTGGCTCTCTATAGGGATTCTGTGATTCTAAATGCAGTCAGATGGAGGGATGCTGTAGCCAGACACGGTGTAAATTCCCACTTACGACTTTAATCAGAAGCCGGAAGTCAAACTTGTATTTTTAAAATTCGTTCATGGGATCTGGGCCAGCAGTTGTTGCCCTGTCCCTAATTGCCCCTTGAGAAGGTGGTGGAACCGCTGCAGTCCTCCTGCTGTGGGTTGACCCGCAATGCCCTTAGGGAGGGAATTCCCAGGATTTTGATCCAGCAACAGTGAAGGAACAGCGATATATTTCCAAGTCAGGATGGTGAGGGGTTCCAAGGGGAACTTGCAGGGGATGGGGTCCCACGTATCTGCTGCCCTTGTCCTTCTGGATGGAAGTGGTCGTGGGTTTGGAAGGTGCTGCCTGAGGATCTTTGGGGAGTTGCTGCAGGGCACCTGGTAAACGATTCCTTTCAAAATCCTGGGATCCCCTCCCAAAGGGCATTGTGGGTCAACCTATGGCACATGCAGTGCAATGGTTCAAGGAAGCAGTTCCCCAGTTCCTTCTCAAAGGACAACTAGGGACGGAGCACAGTGCAACAAGGAGAGAGTGGGGGAAACAGATGAGCAGAAAGGAAGGGGCACAAAGTGAACATAACTTGCTATTCGCAGCAAATTCTGTCAACCCTTTCTCCCCCTCCAGGGCAGCAATCACAAAGCCATGCATCATTATTTTGTTTAAGATTCAGTCCCTGAGGCAGAAGTGTTTCCACACACCTCGCTGCTACAAACTTTGCTTTCGGTAGCACCAGGATATTCGGATGATCGTGACTCTGGAGTCACAGGCCACGGTCTAACAGGATTAGACGCCGAGCAGCCATTCAGCGCTAACAGCGTACTCTCCAGAGGATTAGATCACAGGGTCTGAAATCTAGATTAATCCCGGAATTTTTTCAAGAAAAATAATAAACAGAGTGCCAGCTGTGGGCAGCCTGCAAGAGAAAAGGAGACCTCACAGCATTGCCATCTCGTCTCAGGCTGTTCAACACCATTCATTCAGTGTGGCACAGCACAGGAAGGGCCTTTCCTGGCAGGCCACCCACAACTGCCCCCACTCCAAAGCCTAGGCCTTTCCCAGTAGGCTGCACACCAACCCCCGAAGCCCAGGTCTTCCCCAGTAGGCCACACACCCCACCCCACCAAAGCATTGTAGGCCACAATCCCCCCTCCCTCAAAGCCCAGGTATTTTCCAGCAGGCCACCCATAATCACCCCCACACCAAAGCCTAGGCCTTTCCCAGTAGGCCACACACCCCCACCCCAAAGCCCAGGCCTTGTATTTGCCAGTAGGCCGCACCTTGGTAGTTCTCAGAAATCAGCTCTGAACCAGACTCACCTCCTCTGCTGTTCCAACTCCTCCGCACTTGGTCCATTATTCACCAACCGTGGGGCACCAGGTCCTGTGCAGGAGAGAAGAAACGGGGGTTTTAATGGGCTCACTTCCCAGGTCCTCCAGAAGGAGATCAACAACCTGCATTTATATAGTGCCACCAGTGCAGTGAATTCCCAGAGGCCGTTCCACTGCGTAGAAAAGTCGACCCTGAGGCAGTCTCTCTCTTGGAAGTCAGTAGTGAGCGATCAATAGCTCGGTCAAAGTGGGAGATTTTAAGGAGTGTCTGGAAAACAAAAATGGACGTTGGTGAGGCCTCTTCTGGAGTGCTGTGTCCAGTTCTGGTCACCATGTTATAAGGAAGGATATTATTAAACTGGAGGGGTTTTGGAAAATATTTTCCAGGATATTGCTGGGAATGGAGGGTTTGACTTATACAAAGAGGCTGGGACATTTTTCCACTGGAGCATAGGAGATTGAGGGGTGACCTTATAGATCATGAGGGGCATAGATAAGGTGAATAGCAAAGGTGTTTTCCCCCAGGATGGAGGATTCAAGAGTACGGGGCATATTTTTAAGGTGAGAGGGGAAAGATTTAAAAAAGACATGAGGAGCATTTGTCCCCCACCCCCCTCCCCCAAAGAGTGTAATGTGTGGAATGAACTTCCAGAGGAAGTGGTGGATGTGGGTACAGTTACAACATTTCAAATACATTTGGATAAGTACATGAATAGGAAAGGTTTGGAGGGATATGGGCCAGGAGCAGGCAGGTGGGACTAGTTTAGTTTGGAATTATGGTCGGCACGGACTGGTTGGACCGAAGGGCCTGTTTCTGTGCTGTATGATTCTATGTGACAATAACTAATCAAATTAAATTAAAAGTTAAGTGAGGGGTATGGGGCAGGGTTCACCTAATCCACTCACGCTGTCCCCCACAAGCCTCTCTTCACCTCGTATTCTGCAAGGTCAATAATAAAGATCTTTTCCCTAGTGTGGGGGAGTTCAAAACTAGGTAGTGTATTTTTAAGGTGAGAGGAGAAAGATTTAAAAAGGGAACTGAGGGGTAACTTTTTTTTTAAGCACACAGTGGTTCGTGTGTGTAATGAACTTCCAGAGGAAGTGGTGGATGCGGGTACAGTTACAACGTACTTATCCAAATGTCTTTTAAACACAAATAGGAATGGTTTGGAGGGGTATGGGCCAAGTGCGGGCAAATGGAAGTAGTTTAGTTTGGGATTATGGTCGACATGGACTGGTTGGGCCAAAGGGTCTGTTTCTGTGCTGTTCTGTACATCACGTCCCTTTCTCCCGACTACCATCAGTTCAGAACAACAGTCAAACGTTATCTCAGTTTCTCTCCCCCCAGGATGCGCCAGACCCACCGAGTTTCTCTGGCACTTTCTGTTTCAGATTTGTTTTATAACATTCGCTCTCTCCCCGCCTGCTTTCTGTGGCCAAAGAGGTCCTTTCTTTTAAAGGGAAATCCACTTTGTGGGTTCTCGATGTGTATTTAAAATAAAAAATGGCTGTCACCTTCCTCAAAAAGACTTCCTGCTCCAGAATGCCAAAAGGGGAATTTATTTATTTATTTATTTTTTGGAGATGACAGTTTTCCCAGTGATTTATCAGTCTGGGTCCTGATCTCTTTTGCCTCCCCCCACACCCCACAACCGATCCCATTGCACGGTGATCCCTCCCAACACAATGTTCAATCACCAGATCACTTCAACTTCCCAAGGGCTTGGGGCTCCTTCAGAAGTAGGAGCAGGAGACTGCTCTGCTACTCAATGGAATCACGGCTGATCTGATAATCCACAACTCCACTTTCCTGCCTTTTCACCCCCATGACCCTCGATTCCCCTCCCTGATTAAAAATCTCTCTCAGCCTTGACAGCCCTCTGCAGTAAAGAATTCCCCAGATTCACTCACCTCAGAGAAGAAATTCCTCCTCATCTCTATTTTAAAATGGGCAAAGTTGTGAGATATAATTCTTGGGGCTAAAGGGATCAAAAAGTGTTCAGGGGAGAAAGCGGGAACAGGGCACAGAGTTGGATGATCAGCCGTGGTCATATCGAATGGCAAAGCAAGCTCGAGGGGCTGAGTGGCCTACTCCCACTCCTAGTTAGTGATAGCAAGAACTGCCGATGCTGAAGTCAGAGATAACACAGTGTGGAGCTGGATGAACACAGCAGGCCAGGCAGCATCAGAGGAGCAGGAAAGCTGACGTTTCGGCTCAGGACCCCTTCTTCAGAAATCTGAAACAAGCAGCTCCCAGGAGGTTTCTGAAGAAGGGTCCCGGCCCTCCAGCTCCACACTGTGTTATCTCCTGCTCCTAGTTTGTGTTTCTATGATTTTTATCCTGAGATGATGCCCCTCTGGTTCAAGACTCTCCCACAAGGGAGAAACAATCTCTCCACATCTACCCTGCCAAGCTCCCTAAGAATCTTGTCTGTTTCAATAAGGTCACCTCTCACTCTTCCCAACTCCAATGAGTACAGGCCCAACCTACTCAACCCTTCCTCATAAGAGAGTCCCTCCATACCTGGGATCAACTGAGTGAACCTTCTGTGGACTGAGGCCAATGTTAGTCTATCTTCCCTTAGATAAGGGGCCCAATATTCCAGCCATGGTCTGACTCAGGTCTTGTATAGTTTTTCCAAAACCTCCTACTTTTGTAGAACGCATAGAAAATAGTAGTAGACCATTCGGCCCTTCGAGCCTACTCCTCCATTCAATATGATCATGGCTGACCATCCAACTCAGTTCCTGCTTTCTCCCCCTTGCCCTTTGATCCCTTCAGCCCCAAGAACTATACAAAACATTCAATGTTTTGGCCTCAACTGCTCTCTCTGGCAGAGATTTCCACAGGCTCCTCATTTCTATCTTGTGCTCCATTCTCTTTGAAACAAAGACAAACAAACAATCCACTTGCCCTCCCTCGTAGCCTCCTGATATTCTGTCTCCTCACCTCCATCACAGCATACCCTCCTTGCAAATGCCTCTGACCCCCTCCACCAGTGAAGTACAGTTACACCTACCCACACTCGCTGTGCCATCAAGTACCTCCAGGGCATGATGCATCCCGTTGGCGAAGAGTGTGGCGTCCTCCTTGCTCCCGAAGTTCAGGCCCCAGACCTGACGCATGTCTCTCCACTGATGGAAGCTGGGAGTTGCCTGGTTATACTTCAGGCCTTTGGCGATGGGGCAGTTTATCACAACCTAGGAGCCAGCAAAGAAGCAGATTAGCTGATGGAGAGGTTGGGGAGGGGGTTAGTTAGAAGGGATACGCGCTACAAACAGGTCCCCACGCACAGGCCGCAAGGCTCAAAATCATGACCCACTTCCGGGGCAGTAAACTACATTTCTATTCAGTCTGGGCCTACACGTGACTCCAGACCCACAGCAAATCTGGCGGACTCTTAAACTGCCCTCTGAAATGGCCGAGCGAACTACTCAGTTCAAGGTTTGGGGTGGGGGTGGTGGAATTAGGGAAATATACCGGCATCAGTCAATGACACCTACATCCCAGGAAAAAGAATAAAAAGTTCCTCCCATAAAAAGCGAGTTTTGCAACAAAGCATTCACACGATTATTAATGAGACTCCCATTTTCTCCCAGATACATTCACTTCCGTGAATTTAAATTCTCTCTGGGGCTGTGTTGGGATTTGAACTCCTTCCTTCCAGATTGCCAGTGCAGCAGTGTGAACGGTAGGTGTGGGTGGTCTGTCTAGCCCAGGGCTAGCATGGTGACCCCACACAACATGGGGTGGCGGGGGGAAAACGAGAGAATCACTCAGAACAGCACATGCCCGAGGGTTCAACAAGGGGTGACCGGTTATTGTTGAACATACCCACGTCTCGAGAGTGAATAAATATTTCCAGATCTTTTAAAAGAAAAACGGAAGTGAAAAGGCACGCTGCGTAGTTTCTCATCTTGAGCTCATCAGGACAGAACTGCAAGAATGCCAAATCTCGAAAAGGGAACAACAATTTATACTGGAGGCAAATAGCTGAGGCATTGTCGTAGCAACTGTACCAGGAAGGAAGTGTCCCTCACACTTGTTTAATTAAAAAAAAAAACGGCGCAATGCATATTCCATTTGCTTGCAGCCGATTGGCCCCAGCATCAAAACATTTGCAAGTGGGAGTCCAAAAAAAAAAATAAGCAAGGCAAATCCCACCAGAACCCAAGAGAGTTGGCACTGACTGCGGCTCAACCTGATAGATTAGAACATTCACTGATGCTTCATTAACCCATTTCTAAGGCCCACTGATAACTGACCGGTCAGGCCATTCGGTACCTGCTGGTCCTGTTGGATTTTGCGGCCCACCACGCGGAAGGTGTTGTTGCTTGGGTTGTGGTAGATGTGGACCCGACTGAAGACTTGCGGCCCATTACCCGCTGGGACCCACTTCTTATTGGCATCGTCGTAGAGCATGACCGTAGCCCGAGCCTGACAGATACTCGTCTCGCTGGAAAAGGGAGGAGAAGAGTTCATTACCAGCCCAGCTCGGGAAACCGTAGAACGTTATACATTCTCAAAGCTGAAGAGGGTTCAGAAAAGATTTACCAGGATGTTGCCAGGAATGGGGAGTAAGGGGAGTTTGAGGTCATAGAATCCCTACAGTGTGGAAACAGGCCCTTCGGCCCAACAAGTCCACACTGACCCTCAGAGCATCCCACCAGACTCATGCGCCTATAACCCACCTAATCTACACATCCCTGGACACTATGGGGTAATTTAGCATGGCCAATCCACCCTAACCTGTACATCTTTGGACTGTGGGAGGAAACCCACGCAGACACAGGGGAGAATGTGCAAACTCCACACAGACAGTCGCCCGAGGGTGGGATCGAACGCGGGTCCCTGGCGCTGTGAGGCAGCAGTGCTAACCCACTGAGCCACTGTGCTGCGAGGTATGGGAAAGGGCTGAGCAGACTGGGACCTTTTTTCCACTGGAGCATAGGAGGTTGAGGGGTGACCTTACAAAGGTTTGTAAAATCATGAGGGGTGTGGATAAGATGAATGGCAGGTGTCTTTTCTCTAGGGTGGGGCAGCTCAAGACTAGGGGGCATATTTTTAAGGAGAGAGGAGAGATTTTAAAAAAAGGACATGGAGGGGCAGATTTTTCACAGTGAGTGGAATGAACTTCCTGAGGAAGTGGTGGATGAGGGTACATTTACAATGTTTAAAAGACATTTGGATAAGTACATGAATAGGGAAGGTTTGGAGCAATATGGACCAAGCACAGGGAGGTGGGACTAGTTTAAACTGGGATTACGGTCAGCACAGACTGGTTGGACCGAAGGGTCTGTTTCCGTGCTGTATGACTCTAATAGCTCACTATCTGGGGATGTGGGCAGTGCTATCTTTACCCAGACAGCTGTGGCCTCAAGCTGACAGTGGGAGCAGGAAGAGGGATGGTTTATCAGTGAGTCAGAGACTGAGAAGTCATCACGGGCTGACAAAACTAAAATTGGAGGCAATTAACTTCAGCAACTTTATCTCCAATTAAAAAAAAAACACATCAGAGGAGGTCAAATATTTCCATTTTTGGAAATAGCGTTGAAGGGCTTGAGAGTTCTCCCCTGATATTTTGTTTTCTCTCTCTTCCCTGATATAGTCTGCAAAAGAATCAGGAGCTGCCAACTCAGGAAGGACAGGAATGAGGAAGCTGTGAACATGTCAACTACTGAATGCGTATACATTTGGGCGCTATATAAATTCATCTCAAGGCACTTCACAGGGACAACATTAGAAAATAACTCAAAAACTAAAAGTTAGACACGGGGCCATGGAGGTGAATGATACTCGAAGCAGACCATCATTTCCATATTGGCTCACCAAGAGCTGCTATTGCAGCTGGTCCCCATTGCTACCTCCCACCTGCAAATCTCCTGCAGTCAGATAAATGTCCCACTCCTATTGGCTGGCGAATTGCAATGCTGGGGTAGTTAGCCAGGTGGGAAATACAGAAACACAGCAGTAGGCTGTTCAGCCCCTTGAGGCTGCTCCACCACTCAAGATAACAGCTGACCTTCTACCCCAACACCATTCCCCCGCACTATCCACTGACCCCTTTATTGTCTGGAAATCTACTGATCTCTGTCTCAAACCAATCAAGTATATTGCCCACAAAGTGAGAAAACGAGAGGCTTGCACCTTAGAGGTTTTATAAAATGACGAGAGACATAGATAAGGTGAACAGGCATGGTCTTTAGCCCAGGATAGTGGAGTCCAAAACTAGAGCATATAGGTTTAAGGGGAGAGGGGAAAGATTTAAAAGGGACCTAAGGGGTAACTTTTTCACACAGAGGGTGGTGCATGTGTGGAATGAGCTGCCAGAGGAAGTGATGGAAGCTGGTACAATTACAACATTTAAAAGGCATCTAGATGGGTACATGAATATGAAGGGTTGAGAGGGATATGGGCCAAATGCTGGCAAATGGGATTAGCTCAGTTTAGTTCATAGTTAGAGTCAGAGTCAATGTGGCAGAATGACATTGAACGTGGGAGAACCTGGAATTCAGAATGATCAATAAAGGAGGAAATGAAGTAAACAAAATCATAATTAAAAATCAACAATTGGAAAGACTATGAGGGCAAAAGAAAGGAAGTGACCACTAAACAAAATAAAACAAAACCACATCATTTTAAAAATAAAATTGGGGCTTTTGCCATTTCCTCCAAGTTCTCTTATACCATCCGTTTTAACTTTAGGT